AGATCTCTACAACTCAGTAGTCACTAAAGTTTTCAACAACAACATATCTTCACTTTCATTTCCTTTCCTAAGATAGAAACACTTAAGCATTTTCTTTTACCTTTTGGAAAGATGCAAGAAAGGATTCTTTTTTTCCTTTTTTTTTTTTTAATGTCTCAATCTCAAAATCTGACAAATCTTTCAATTTGAGCTTTTCATAGGGATATTTATTTGTGAGGGAGCTGAAGTTTGAAACTCACAGTGGTAAGTTAGCCATACACCAATGAAGCTCACAACCCCATTACCCTCTAAACTTGCCTTCCTGAAGACTGTTAGAGTGGGTTGGTGTGCTGGCACTACCAAAATCACAGGCAGAACTCCTATGAACATCAACAGATCTGAATTTACACCCCGAGGTTTTTTTGTCAGGAGGATTTTGAAAAACAAAAGAAATAATTTCTAGCTCTCAGGTGATAATTTTTTATGTTGGGGCTGTCTTAACAGTCTATGTGATTTTTTTCTTCTTTTTAGTTCTCTCTTCTTCGTAAATCTGTGCCTGTGATAAGAACAGGGGCTTTTATCATAGGATAGCAGTAAATAATTAAAAAACACGGATTATTCCCTGTAAACATACACTTTGGGCCACGTCCCTAAATTCTTTTGCAAAACTTCTTGGAGATTTCAAAGAAATGCTCCGCCACAGTTAAGAGATAAATGAAGGAAAAAAAGTATTTTCAGAGTTGCATGTTGAAAATGGACCAATATGGAGTCAGTAAAAGATCACAGAGGCAGAAAAGGGAGTTTGACTCTCAGTTGGAAGAGGAAGAACTTCTTGCTTCCTGGAGTGCATATAACTGAATTTTTGAGCAGAACTATTTTAGGAGCAGAACATTAGGCCTTTCTACTTTCTGATAAGCTTTCAAGATGAGAAGATTCTGACTGTTCCTCTCTCTCTTCTTTTGACACCGATTTTTATCATTTCTGGGTGCTTTGTATCTTTGATTCAGCCAGAAGGATGGCAGTCAAAGCAATTTCTTGGGAAGTAACCAGAGGAGTTTAGATCCACCTCTTTCTACAGCAGTGTTCTTATCAGTGAACTGGCACCACCACCCATGAAGTTAATTGAGGTGCTGACGATGACTAACTTTTTCAGGATTCTCCAAGGTCTCAAGCAAGCCTTGGCTGTTATATGTCTTATCCTGGCTTGCTATTAGGAGGAGATAACCATCCTCATTGTTCAACCTCCACATTGTTCAGGTACTTCTGAGGGTGTATTCCAGCCAGAAAAAAATCTAGCCAGATTAAAAGGTATGTAGTGAATTTGGGTGCCAGAAAATTTTAGTAGTACTGGAAATTGGGCAGATTATTTTGTTGTTTGGGATTCTGAAGGATTTGCATGCCTGGGACTTACTTTGAGTAGACCAGACATCAACAGTGCATAGTTTGCTCACTGTTTATCTGTGAGCTAAAGCCCTGATAATTCCACTTCCATCAAAAACAAAAAGCAATAATTATAAATGCAAAATCAGTATGATTCTAGTAGTTCACAGGCGACCTCTTAGACATTAATCTTTCTAGTCATGTATTTAAAGAAAACTCAGAACGTGTCAGACAGATGTATTCTCTGGAATAATTTTGATAAGCTAATATGGTAATGAGTTTCCTGGTTGATTCCTGGTGCTTCTGTTCAAGTCTCCATGCAACTCAGACACTTCAAGACAATTTTCCTCCTGCATAACCATCTTGAAAAAAAAAATACAAAAACAAAAAACCACAGTTGATTAAGTACCTTTACATTCCTCATTTACGCTAATGTAAAACCAAACGGTTTTGAGTAAGCGTACACACAATGCATGGGGTATTACGCATGTGTGTGTAGCTGCATATTTCTGTTACAGATATAACAAACAACAGGTATATGTAGACTGTACAGCTATGCATCTTGAAAACCTCAGTTTTCAAGCTGACATAAGTGCCTTCTGATAGCTTCCTAGGCAAGATCTATCATGAGGCTCTCTAGGGAAGAATTTCTTAAAAAAATAAAAATGACTTCGACCACATTTATTTGATATTACATTCATAGGTGTAAAATAGCCGTTTATAGTTTCACTTGTCCATTTCCCTTGCTCTGAATCTGCCTCCCTGATCAAGAAATTCAATAGCTATTAAAAGCTGCAGCTGTACTAACAGTCTTATGCTTTATAGGAGGTATTTTGCAGCTATTACTTTAGAACAGACGTTCCATGCCAGTACAGATGTTGCGTCTACCTTTTTCATAAGCACTTTATCTGCACCATGGGCATTGCATTTCTAATGTTTGCTTGAAATTGCTAAACACACTCTATAGCTGTAATTTATTTGGGCTGGTGCAGTTTAAAGACCTGAGAGCTAGGTCTGCACCTGTTCTATTCATCTGACCAGGAAAGCACTAATTCTACTGCCTAAGTGTTTGTTGAGTTTAGATCTCTTCTTTATAAATCTCATGAACCAAATGCAGCCTTTCGATTCACACATATGTTCCCCTTCCCTGAGGTGAAAATTGCTTGCATATATATCACCAAATTTCATTTTTCTAATATTGAAGGGAGAGCATACTGCTAATGGAGAGGACCAGCATTCAACTCTTACATTCCTTTCCTCAGTTAATCCATCTCCGAGTAATCAAACCTACATAGTGAACGATGAAACATTTAGAAGTGTGTGTGTAAATAGAGCGAATTCTGCTAGTACAATGACACTGGCTTCATTGTGGGAAGTACAATGATGGTACTGATATCAGCAAATTTGTATTAATGTAAGATGAGTGACAGTTGGAAATCTCCTAAGTAATAAAAGATAAATTTTAAATGCTGAATGTTCAACCAGGATAGGAACCCTTCATTCAACTGTTTCAGCCCAAAATTTTGGATATCAGACAAATGCCAGCCTAGCTTTGAAAGACAAAATCTCAGAAAAAAAAAATTAAAGAAAAACAGAAACCACCCCAAACCAACCAAACAAGAAAGCCAGTGTTCAGTGAGGTTTTTCAAAACCAAAGCTATGTCCCACTTTGCCCAATTCTGCCAGAGATGTATGTCATATGTAGACATGTCATCAAACATGACTCAAACCAACCCTTCCCCCAAAATAAATAAATGTAACCACATAGACCAAAATGATTCATTGGCATTTTAAAGATTCTACCCTACTTGCTTGTGGTGCATTTTTAATTTTGAGTTAAAACAGGAGTTGATCTCTTACTTAGTATTTTTGTTAAAACGGAAAAAAACAACCACTTATGCCATAATCAATCTTCTTAAAAACTTGTAAGTATTTAGTAAATTTATTGCAATGGAATGGAGCAGAATGTCTCTATAAGAGAACAAATAAGAACAAAAGAATTAAAGAATGGAGCTATATGTGGAAATAAAGAGAATGTAATAAAATGAGAGAAGCTAATTTGAAGTATATATTTTGGGGACAGTGGTTAAATACTGAAGCAAAGATATTATTAGTGACTACATTACTAAAATGAAATGCTTCAGAATTGTGCATTTAAGGACTGAATTCAGTTTGAAAGTTGTGATGACACTGACAAACCACACAAGCCACATTCAGGGGGCCAATATTTCATCTAATTCGTTTAACAGCAGAACAGAATTTAGCCCTTTATATTTAGGATGTCATCAGAAGCTCTAGATAGAATTACAATCTTGCTGTGCATGGTTGAGTATATGTAATTCTTTATATAACATTCATGTGTTATGTGTTGTAAAAGAAATGAAAGGTAGCTGTTAATTCCAAGGCTTATAAATATGTCAGTGGGTTTTCATAATGTCTTAATAAATTATAAGAACAAACTGAAATGACTCATGATGTCACCAGAACTACATGCTGTACTGTATTTTTTTACAATTATGTACTATACCTCGCAGGATTCTTTTACTTTCTACATGAATATGTAGATCCCACTGAAAAGATAAAACAATCCTTGTTGATTTCTTTGTTCTTTTTTATTTGCCATCTTTTGGCTGTTTTCTTGTTCTGAGCCCTTCTTCAAATTACAAAAATTAATCTCTTTATGAAGATGTGTTTAAAAAATTATTGCTGCAACTGATGTATTTATTCATTGAGAAACTGAAGTAAAATACAGTTTCCAAATATCCTCAAATTTGGGTGAAGTTCAAATTTTCCTTGGATCTTAGTTCTCTGGCTGGCCACCATTCTGTATCACTAGTGGTATAACTAGCTGAAAAGAAACCCTTGGTTCTTTAGTGCTCCCCATTTAAACTCTCACAGGTATAAGTTACAAGTGCAGTTTGCAATTATGTGTCCTGATTAAATGTTCCTACATAAAAAAAACACATATGTATATATATATAGAGAGAGAGAGTGATCCTGCTCCCACTGATATGCTTAGCTGTTGATTCAAAGGAACAGAACCTGTTACTTGAGATGGGGAGAAATGGAAAGAATCCAGTATTACTTTCATTTTTTGTGACCCTTACTTAAATCACTGGAAATGATACATCTGAATTTAACATATATTTATCTGATGACTTGCTTCTCTGCAGAGAGAATCTTCTCTGAAGATATTAAATAAAGAAAGCAAAGAAATATCCTCCAGTGTTTCTCTTGTATGTACTGAACTAGTTCTTCAACATATATATACTCAAAAAGCCTGTACTGGAAATTCCCTTGTTCAAGCTATCTGTCCGTTCACATACTGCTTGCAATGAAACAGGTATCTTTTCAAGATGGAGGTCTTTTTGCTCTCATTTATCCAGAAGCAAACAGGAAACCCCATTCCAAACTTCCCATTCCAAGAATAATAGCAGTGTTCAGTCACATTTTATAAAAGCATCTTAGAATTTATATAAATAAAACTAGGGTACATTTCAAAGAATATATAAAATGCTGGCATTTAGCTTTTACTGCAAAGATCAAAGAGCCGATTTAAAATTAAAATTGTCATGAATTTAAATTATGCATTTAGTCATAATAAAAAATATTAAAGAAAAAAATAAAGCAGCACATATACCTTATATTGTAAGATAAAGTTTAATATATTTTATTAGCTTAAGGGACACAGAATAACTATCTATCCAGAACTTCAGGCATGCATTTACATAAATATATTAAATTAAGAAAAGCAATTATACACTTAAACATCCTTTTGTCTAAAAAATCATTAAATCCACAGATTAACAATAAATCCAACTCTATGCATTTATCACTTCCAGATACAACTGTTCCATTTCTCAGATATTACACAAATACATTTGTTAGAATTTATATGCATTATACATATATTATATATTACATAATAGTGTGTATACATACATGGTGTTCAATAATATAATAATAATTTGTACTTTTTATAGCACTTTTCATTTGAAGAGCTCAAAGCGCTTTACAAAGATTGGTTTCACTAATTTTTAGATGGAGAGTGGAGACACAAAGATGCAATTATTTAAGGTTATATAGAATTTGTGACACGCAGTAACTGAATTCTCTTGCTTTGAACTTCAGCCATGCTGTCTCCCTAAAAAGAATACACATATAGCATACGTAATCTACATAGGTAGACCTGCAAAGGCTTGTAAGGTCTCAAACCAAGAAAGCACTTAATTATATTAATAATGTTAAGCACATGACTTCAGTGAGATTCATATGCTTAAAATTACTTGTGTGTTCCAGTGCTCTGCTAGATTGGTGCCTGTATATGCTTAGTAGTATAGTACAGTCTATAGAAGATAATTAAACATAGTTTGAATGGTATTTTCTAAACTAGTTTCCCACATTTCAAATGTACATACAGTACCTGATGGCTACTATAAAATAAAACTACTTGAACAGAGGAATATCAGAACAGTTATGTTCTCAAGTGACAGATTTTTGTTATTTCCTTTTCCTTTCCTGCTTGGCTCCCATTAAAATCTAATTGTTCTCAAAAGGGAATTGAAGTTTTCATTCTGTAGTATATTTTGTGGGGGACAGCTAATAGCATTTCTGGATAATTCACAGGGTAGAATTACTGCTTCTGGTATTAACGGTGACCACTACAAGATACATCTGGTGACTTCATACCAGATGGTTTCTGGTCTCAGTATATCCTGATAGGAATTCAGAGCATTTTGCACACCAAAGTTGACTCCACCTAGAGTGTTTTTCTTTTAGTGACTCCTCTTAGGAGCATTCAGCAAATGGGATTTGGTTGTCACTGCCTCATCATGCAAACCTCCTTTTTCTTGTACAACAAAATGCATCCTACACACAAGAACACAAAAACCAAACAGCCACCTCTCTGCTTTCTTCCCACTCAAAAAGATTATGAATGCAGCCACCGCATATATTCACATGCTTTAGCTGGCACCTTCTTTCTGAAATTTCCAGGAATTTAAACATTTTTTATTGAAAGATTTTTTCACTTTTCTTTTAATTTCAAAATGAAAATAAATGGGGACATCTCATTTATTGTAAATGGAACTTAACTATATGATATGTGGCACCCTACTGATCACTTGTAACAGATGGAAAGTTGTTTTTTTTAATCATAGAAATAAAACTCTTTTCCAACAATGCGACTTGCTGTTTGAGCACATTCTTAGCAATAATTTCCAATATTTTTGGTTGTGGAAGCCAGTGTGTGTACAGTATGCAGTAGGCAAAAACACACATTAAATTGATATTATATAAAATAGTAATTTTTGTGACTTCCTATGGCATGAAATGATCACTAGAATTATGTGGCTTTGGTGCGTGGAGTTCTGGTAAGCAGGTGTGCTACTTGGCTTTCAAATCAAACTGTACAGTATAAAGTAAAGAAAAAGCTCCCATGGAAACCTGTGAGAGTTTTATTTGGGTTAGGGGATAACACGATAATCCTTTCCCAATATGTAGACCAAATTAGTAATTATTAGTAACTCATGAGTGAACTGAAGGAAAAAGGTTGATGTGTCCGTTGAACTATTTATACAGAGCTATAAAATAGTAATGTTTCCCATATGGAAGATAAGGCATTACTAATACTGTCCGATTAGTCAATCTACACAGTGTAAATCTATGCAGAATTGCCATATTGTTTTCTGTTGTGTATTTTACATCATGATAAATCCCTAGTGCACAGCCGTAACTGAAGTCAATGAGTACAAAGGCAAGCAGATAGATCCTTTGCCTGTAGAATACCTACTCAAGTCTAATCCTGCACTTGCTTACATCTGTTATTTCACTACTTTGAGTAGTGTCATCGCTTTCAGTATTGCCATTTTTATTAGTAAGGATGGGAACAAAATTTTTTGTTGGATTAAGGTACAATCTTGATTGAAATATTACCCACTCGTATTTAACATGTGAAGAAAGGTTTGAAAATATGCCGTATGTTGAATGGAGCCTTTGTAATACTGGACTCAGAACAGTTGCAGGAACTCATCCGTTGATGTCTGTGAGCACTGGGATCCATCCCCTCTGTGGGGGCACTCTGGGGCCCTGTCTTATTATGTCTATTTCATAAAATGGGACCACTGACTTATTTAAATTCCTTTCCTGCTTAGTGGCATACACTTAAACATTTGAAATACGCACATACGTGTGAAAGAGAAGAGATGTGAGCTAATTGCTCAGCGCTTTTGAAGAAGTAACAAAATGTTTGGCAGATTTAACAGGATGCTTTGTGTAGCAGTTGGCAGTACCTGTAAGGAAACTCAACAGGATCGGATATGCTCACTACTTAAAGACAGGCCTGAAACTGCAGTCTTACTCTGGAAAACCTGAGTGAGTCTAATGACTACAGATGCTGACAGAGAGGCAATGGGTGCAGTGATGTCTGTAGCGAAGTTCTTCTGCCAGCTAAGTGTCCATCTTTGAAGGACATTATCCTATAATTAACGAAGTCAATTGGAGATTTTCAGTTGACATCAATGGACATCAAGTTGGGCTCTCAAAGAAAGTTTGAGGTAATCCTGCACTGAGCTTTCAGGTAGCTTCTGCTGTTTCACACCTATATCCTGTAAAGTAAGCTAGTAGTATTTCACTGAATTGCTACCCTTTTGAAAGCAAGGAAAATTTTAGCAAAACTTTTTTTAGCGTTTCAACATCATTTTTCTGTGAAATTAATGGAAATATTTATCAGGTTTTTGTAGCCCAAATTCAGATTATTTGGTAGGTCTTTACTGCAAATTTGGGTCAGAATAAATTTAAGATGTTGACTGCCTTTTTGGCAAAGTTCTTAGTGATAATACATATATTTTTTAATTTGACAAATGTGAAATGTTGGTCATTTTTTAGTATAATGAAAAGGGAAAAGTTAGTTTCGATTTACTTCATGACTCCCTTCCCTTTCTTCTAAGACACTAATCACCCTGGCCAGAAGATCAATATGGTATTATTCCTAACTGAACTGATTCACAGTTAAAATAAAGGATAGTAGATTAAAATACTTCAGCATCTTTTAAAGGATTTATGCAGTTAAGGAAAACTAAGCAGAGCAGGATGTCCTCAGAACTATTTTTTCCATGTGGGCCCAATCTTCTAAATGCCCATTTCATAGATGCATGTAGAAATCACACATATGAGTATTTTTATTTTAATGGGACTCCACACCTGTGAAAGATTACTTGAGCTGAAGTGTTTTTAGAATCTCACTTTTGCATATTTGTACATGAAAAAGTCCTCATTTCTGATCCCAAATTAGAGAAAGAGTATAATGAAAAGCAACATTTCATCATCTTGGGAATGTTGTTCTGCTTTTTACTTGAGGCATCTGGTTACTGTATTGAAATTGGTAACTTTCTGAACAGTGCAGTCAGTGACTGTATAGTGAACAATGCTTTCTCCCTTCTTCCATCTTCAGTATAGCTGATGCTGAGCAGCTGGAGGCTGTTACTTCTGAATCGTTATACACAGTTAATGGCCAGTCTCCAGCCAAACTATGGCATTAGAAGTCACTATAAAATGACAAGATTCTGTGGGGCAATCAAAAGATAATAAACTCAGTCTACTGGGAAGTCCCTTTGATGCATATATACAGTTTGGGAAAAAAAAAAAAAAAAGAGAAAGAAAAAGCAACACCTGCAGCAACCAATTATTGATCTTTGCTATAGTTCTAGGAAGGAAGGAGATACAAAACTGAAATGTAGAGAAGTGAACAAAAGGAGATAAACAAAGAGCTGTCATGGTTGCCAATATAGAACTTATATTCTTATTTATACCTAGCTTATACTTTGGATGCATGAAACAGAATAACTTGTGAGGCTTTAAAGGTACAAGGAGTCTGTATCTGTGTCCCTGACTGTTAATAGAAGAAATACGTTTCCTTGAGGGGAAGGGTTTGGGATAATATTTCTTAATGGAAACATTAGAAAAGTGTGCTTAATGTTTTTTTGATAGTTTGTTTGTTTGTTTTTCTGAAATGGAGTAAACCAATTTGGAGCTGATTTTGCATCTTTTTGTCTCAATACTTATCTATGGACTAAGAACGTTTCTCCTTATATTCAAATAATATGCCTTTTTTTCTGATCGGTAGCATCTTAAAAAGAGAAGGATGAAGGCTTACCATCCTGAAATAATAAAATGAGGGTTGAAAACTAGCATACATCAGGAATAGAATTACTTTTTTTGCAACAGGTATATTTATTCTTTTTTTAACAGTAGAAAGCCTGAAAGAATGCTTGAAATGTACCATGTATTGGGACACAGAGAGGGCAGTATCTCACAATAAAGGAAAAAGTGAATGGAATAAAAGATTAGGAGAGAGAGAGACAGAGGCAGAGACAACTTGAACACATACATAAAATCCTTTCTGGAGGCCCTTATCTAATTGCCTCATTTATCTAGTTTCATTTATAAGCTCAGTTTTATTCTGGGACACTCGCAGAGATTGTGTGAGAATGGCTGTAGAATGACCTAACTGGCAACAGGCTTTCTACAAACCTTTTTTTTTTTTTTTTTTGTATGCCAATTCTCAGGGCAATTACTGCAGTTGCCCTTTTTATATTAGCATCTTGGGTGGTTAGGCCTGGGGTTTACTCACTCTTTTTAATAGTATAATTTCTTTTGATAAATAAGCAGTTGGGATTTTTGTGTCTTTTTTTTTGAGAATACTTCTTTTCCACTGGGACTTCCTATGTATCCATGTGGGCTTAAAGCAGATGCCTGCTTTCACATGATACAAAAGATGATTTAAAAATGAAGCAGAACACTTTCCATAAGCTATTTCCCCTTTCTCTCTATTCTTCACTTAGATTACTTCTTAGTTTTGAATTTTTGATTGAAAGACTGAAACATTTTATTTTTTTTTAAGAAATCAACTGAAATATTTGCCTCAGTTTTAAAAGTGATTTTGTGGCTGCAGTGCAGTTGATGAGAGGGTTTTTTTTTATGCCATTGATTTGAATGAGCTCTGGATTTAATTCTTAACCTTTAATGAAGTTTAATTTTCTGATTCCACTAGTAAACTAAATTGTCTTTATTATGAAGATGAACTGTATGTTATCCCTTCTTTTCACAACTGTGGCATATACTGGCTATATACATGACTATAGAATATACATTACTGGGGATCTTCAATTTAGGTGGTACAGCCCACATTTTTTTTTTATTGTTTTTTTTTTAGTCTCTAGGAACGAAGCAGTGAGAAATGAACTATCACATATCTCCCTGGCCAGTTGTTGAGAGTATTATGAACTAAAGTGGGGTATATTTTTTTTAATATATTCATTAAAGAAAGTGTTAAAGATGTTATCTCTGTCAGATATTTAAATGTTGCAAAAATACTTGAGTGACTTTCTTGCTTTGCTGATTATGAAGAGTGCAATAAAACTGCACTATCTGACAGATTTAGACAGCTGGCTCATTCATGAGAAGTTCACATTTTTGTCACCCACGTTGAATAAGGGAAGATTAGATGGTAAGGTCAATTTACAAAAATGGTTGTCAGGACATTTTTTAATTGTAAAACTTTTTGTGATGGAATTCAGGAAAAAGACTAAAGGCAGAAAGCAGTGGAGACAAAGAGCTGCTATTAACCTACAGATGCTACTGCAGGGTTCATTTTAAGATTGGTCACACTGCTTAGCCAATGAAGTGTTGGTGTGACTATAAGGGACCACCCTTTTCTGGGGTGAGAGGGCAATTTGGTCTTCATGCTCATTTAATCCTGAGACGTCTTTCAATGGACTGTCAGTTGAATCTACATTGTGCAAAATTATGCATGCACTTTTTAATGCAGACCATTGTTCACTAAGCACTTAACCAAGATCTCTCAACCAATTTCCATTTGGCATGAGGTCACTAGAAACCCAAGCAAACATATATGGAAGGCAAGTGTAATTTTCTGTTCCTCTCAGCAGGAATACTGAATAGAGATAAATACAAGTAACAGTTTTGCTGTACTTAAAGATTTAATATTTATTAAATGAAGGCTGACAACTTTCCATAAAGGAAAATTCATTACATGTCACTACCCTGGAAAGAGAATTTTGCTACTAGAGAGCAATATGGCTAGAATATGCTATAAGTTATTGCCTAAAGTGTTGTAAACTGTTGACGCATGAGTAGCTGCATGTAAGAACCATTAGCGTGTGCATGCTGTGGCTACTCTACTCTTTTTTTACAGGCAAGTTTTATAAAAGCCAGGTAGTGCAAAGGAAATCTGATAGCTAGAAAACAGTGAACAAAGAAACTGCCAATAACGTCCCAGAGCTCGCCAGCTCTGGGCATAACAGGGCACCGATTCTGAAGATACATCTAATTAGAATATTAATACTTTAGAAAACCTGACTAGAGCATGTACACCATATTTATTGATACATTTACAAAAATTCAATTTTATGTTAGCTCTTCAAGGAACATTTACATTTAAAACCATATTTGGCAATAATTGTTATACGTTTTGTACAAGTGACATCTTACACAGCCAACACGTGCTAATGTGAGCTTTTGTCCAGTGAAGTTCCATTCAGTGTGAAATCTGTAGCAGTCTAATCATGTATAATCTGGCCCGTCCTGTTATAGTGAAAATCACTTTATGAACACTTCTAACATGTGCTGGAATTTTATTAGGACTGGTTGGTGGTTGTTTTTTCATCCGTCGTAAATGAATACAAGTTGACACAAGGATACATTTCTAGATTAGATCCACAACACAATAAAGAGTGTGTTTGCTCTCTCTTTCCCCGTCTTTCCAATTAAGTTGGTGAAAAATGTAACTTTAGTATTATACAGGACATGGCAAAGCTGTCTCATCTAGGTGATGTCTATATTATAAAAATAAAATAAAATAAAATAATATAAATATGTAACATGAACCCAGTGCCCATTGTTAAATAAAATATATGATAAAAAGCAGACCTTCTAGGATGACTGGTTTTGAAATATGCGAGTATAATTTAATTATTAAACACTCGAAACAATCTTGATATTAAGCTGCGATAACCAGATTTTTGCATCTATGCTAGATAAAGAAATGCGTAACATTCTGTAATAGAGTTACATTGATGAAGGTGAAGGTTACAGTCTTACAATGAATTGCCTAGATAGGAATGCATTAAGGAGATCTGAAATATTCTCTCATAACGTAGATCATTTCGCCTTTAAAACTGTTACAACTGGATTTCATTAAGTCCAGCAGTTTATACAGTGATGGTTCCAAACTGCTCTCTTATTGCTATAATCAGGCAGTTGCAGACACAAGGTTTCTGGGATGTCAGTGAATCCAAAATGACATCAGGAAAGTCCTTTGACGAAATTGTGGTTTGCAGTGGAATTGCTTTGTAAACTATTTCTCATGAAGAAATGTACATAAAAAAAATTCCACTACCTGTAAAACCGTATTTGTGATAGTGCCTGCCCGTGTATGCGTGCATGTATTGGGTATCTGTACATCAGTGGGGATGTACAGGAATATTTACACACATACAACAAATTTATTGGCACATTTCTGGATACTATATTTAAATTAATAAAGTAAATCAAATCACCGTTCTTTGCTGCGGGATAACCAACCGTCTTTTAAAAATGACAGGATTCAAAACAAATGCCCGTTGAAAGTGTAGTTTCCAAATAGTCCCAGAAACTATACAATATAGCTGGTTAGGTCCAGCAAATAGGATGTCATGTCTAGGATCTGATCAAGAATACCTGCCCTTGTCACTCTTCGGATGTTTCTATCCACTTGTTCACACTGGGGGCCGAGATAGCCTTTTTTACATAAGCATTTATTGGGCCTTACACAGACACCTCCATGTCGACACGCCGGGTCACACTTTGCTGTGGGTAAAAAAAGAGCAGTTTTCTAATTTCTTTCAAGTATCACAAAGCAAAAAGATACAATATGTATTCATTAAGAACTACTTCTCTGAACTTATAATGGTAAAGCACATAAATTAAAAACAAAATAGAAAGGATGAAATATTGGATGTTTCAAAACTGTATTTTTTAAAGTTGTAGAATAGTAGGGAGAGGAAGTATTTTTTTATGTCTGTTAGAATATCTCCCAGGACAGACTGTGAAAATCAAATAGCAAATTTTTGAAAATATATGATTCCTGTATTTGGGTGGGATTTTAGAGTGCATTGGCAACTCAACTCAAAAGATTTTAGGCTTCAAATATCATATGACTTAAAAGAAGACATGCAAAATTGCTAGAAGTTTAGATAGTGGTGGCCTACGTCATCTCATTTCTTATGATGGCAAGCCAAAAAATTACTGAAGTTGTAGAGACATATCAGCACCTGACCACATCCAAACTGGCAAGAACTATATCATAGATAAACTTCTTACTCTGTACATGCAGAGTTCTGTACTATGCAATTGAGGCACAAAATGGTGCCTGTTTGGCTCCTGAATAACTTAATCTTGGAAAAAAACTGAATTACCATTAAAAAAAAGAACAAGAATATATTTTACACGGCTTTTATCAGTTAAGCTTGGAAGATTCACCCTATCTCTTTAGTCGATATTTGACAATTTACCAGTAGAGTTCTAGGTCAATCATCTTGCCCAAGGTTTTCAGATTTAAATGCTATATCAAGTTGTAGTCAATGTTAGCAAAAACAGTATTCATAACTTCCAGTTTTTAAAGTGGTCTCTTCTATGGCACAGTCACTGCACTGTGATACAGGAAAGCTACAATATCTATTTACAAAGATTTAAAATACACTATACAAATCAAGTTTCATTATTCATGAATTTCTTAATTACCTTAGATGGAAACTGATGCCTTGTAACTATTTTTTCTTACTTATATTATGTTTATAGCTTGAGATTCAAGCTAGAACACCTCTGCTAAGTGCTGTGTGGGATACAATGATGAAAACTCCTTAGTCTACATGTTTTTTTGCAGCTTTCTTGTGCAAACCTGTATCTAACAAACTATCTATCAAAGAACAATAAGTTTTTAAACAAAACAGATTATTCAAGACACATTTATGGTCACACTGGAGATGTTTTTTGCTTTGAATTCCACTTGGATAAGGGCTGTAGAATGGACCTCATTCTCCAAATCTAGGCAATATCTGACTGACAAGTGGGGACAACCGAAGCTGGGCTATCTGGCTGGATTGCCTCATCCATTTCTCCAGCCTGCTTTTCTTGCACAGCTGTGTGATGCTCGGCTTATGCATCTTGTCAGTAGGATATATCGTGAGCGATTTCATCCATTGCATTTCAACCCAAACTACGTCACTCCTGCTCATCAGTAAGAACTGCAAGGCTGCTGGAATTTACACTCCAGTCTGTAAGGGCTGCATGTCAACCTCTGCAGGGCCCTCCTGAGTGCCTTTCCAACCTGAAGTATCCTGGGGTCCATTGCCAGATCCTTGCTTTGTCTTACTCTACAATTCTTTTCCTCTTTTGTTATACCTCTGCATATTGACATCTGGTCAAACTCTGAGCAAATATGAGTCAGAAGACTGTGCTAATACACTAATAGCAGCTTCTGGTTCTCAGGCTTGCTCTGGATGATCTGTTAGGCCAGAGTTACGTGGCTCAGCCACAGTAAGCACAGTCTCTGTGAGACACTGATAGCACAACTGTGGCACTCAAGGTCACTTGTTCGTTCCTCTCTCCCCTTTGGTGGCATACATCACATTTGCCATCCATCAGGTTTGATCACTGCCACTTTTTCAAGTGACTCTTCAAAGACAGCTACAGCAACAAGATGGGACTTAATGAAAGCACCACAGTTATTTATGTTGGATCACAATTACTTTCCAATTATTAGCTGCTTTGTGACAAGTTGTGCACAGAATTCTCTAGAATTCTCATTTTAGTCTTTAGGATCAAAACTAAGAATGTACCAAAACTAAGTTAGTTGTATTAATTCACTATGTGCAAAATATGCAATAGTGGCCTGCAGGCCTGATTTTAGTATCTTTCCTGACCAGGTACTCCTATTTGACACAGATAGTATAAGATCGCAGGCAGGAGCTCCATGTCCAACAGTGGAGCAATCAATATTATTGATTGCACTTCCTTTTATTTTACAGAATTGGTATAAAAATAAGAATGCCGCTGTCTGTCATACTTCTGCTCTTACCTGCATTCTGAAGTGGTTCCCATTGCATGAGACATTTTGATTTTAACTGTTGGACTCACCTAAAGACTTATTCTGCTCCTACACCTCATGAGATCAGTATCTCTTTTATGATGTCTGAGGACTAACTGTCAATGAAAATTTCTCCTAGCAAATTATTAAAAGCAAATTATGCCATGTCATTGCTTTATTCACTTGTTGCTATGAATCTATATACAAACCAGCTCTGCAGAACTCTCCTTCCCAGCCTTGATTACAGCAGCATTTTCCTGTGGGAGTGCAGTGCCCATTCCGACAGTGCCTTGAGCATTCAGATGTCAGTGTCTGTGCAGACTGAGCTGTTCTTTTGCATTCTTCAGGGACTAAAGGCCTGTATAAAAATATACGAACCAAGCATATAGTTAAAAGTCAGGGTCAAGGAGAAAAACTGCTTTTGCACATGAAATTGAAAGTTGTAATTTTCACTCAGTATTATTATAGTTGTTTTAAGTGGCTTCTATAGGAACATGTACAGCTTTCCACAGAAAGTATATTGATACAAAAGAAAAATCCAAATCTCATTTAATGCTCTTAGTTGGAAGCGTGCATACTTTATCATGAAGGACATTCATTTCCTTGTATTTAGAAAAATACTGGCAATGAACATAGAATACAAACTTTACTTTTTTATTGAAGGCCTGATTCTCATGCTATTATCAGCAGCGTAAATCGGTGTTCTTAGAGGACTTTTTTTTCTTTTTTTTTTTCTTTTCTCCAGGACACCAGTAAAATAAAGATGGTATGTTACATTGCAGAAAAATATGGTGTTACTTGCTATTCTTTCATATAACTGCCTTCAGAGGTCTTTTACAAGATTAAATAATAGTCCTTGAAACTTCCTGAAGCGTGAGCATGGTAAAAAGAGCATCCCGAAGATCTAATCATGGGCAGCATGTATCTCTATACATTCAGTTGGGAACTGAATTGCCTCTCGGCAGATTTCTTACGGTACTCAAGGTGTTGACTTCAGGCAGGCAGGCCCACAGTAAATGTTTGTAATAAACATGAAAAGCTCTCTTGCTTCCAGAGAACACTTTCACTAAGGGTAACAGCACTGGCACAGGTTGCCCAGAGAAGTTGTGGGAACAGCTCCCACCTTGGAGCTGTTCAAAACCCACCTGGACAACCTGCTGTAGGTGTTCCTGATTGGGCAAGGTGTTGGGCCAGATGACCTATAAAATATTTTTTGTCCTATGAGATATTTTGGATGTCCAGTAGCTTTTTTATTTACAAAAGCACAGCATTATATTCCTTAAAAATGAAGTAGCTGTAGCGCTTTAACTTAAGTCTGTCTTAACTGTTGATAGAATTACAAAGCCTTTTTTACATGGTTTTTGAATTGAGCTGCTTGTCATCATGCTGACCACTTATTTTGTTTGTGATTTGAATTCAGCAGCTAGAGACTGATAGGATCACCACAAAGCTACAGGTTCCAGGGACAGGTATCATTATTTGTCTGCGGCGTGGGTTTGATTGCACAGCAATAAATTGAGAAAAGAATGTCAGGATCTCCCAAGAGTTCTAAACAAGTAACTGAATGGAATTGTAATGGCAATTAAGTTAATTACTGACAAATACTAAATGACTCATTGTCAAAGAAATAGTTTGAACTACTGCCATGCATTCCTAAACTTGAAATTTGTAGGAAGAAGATTCTACCAGATTTATGGAGAGCTCAGTGAAACCTTGGCTAAGTGTCCAGCTAGAATTCAAAGAAAACAAAACAAAATTGTACAAGATAGTAAGAACAGAATAGAAGAGTACTAACATAAGTATTAAACCCCCAGCTATATGCAAGTAGCTGGAATAGCAACTTGTGTTCTGGCTACCCTATCAAATATTAAAAGTCTAGACTGAAACCCCTCTGTGAGCAAAGTGAAAGATCTTGATAGTCTTTGGAGTACGAGAAAGAAAGGGTGGAGAACAATGTGGAAATTAGTATGTGGAAAACAATGGTGGAAAAAAAAAAAACAAAACAGGAGGAAAATTGGGGATTCTTGTTTACTTCCCATTTCAATGTCAGAACTATTGAGGAAAAAAATTAAGCTCAAGAAAATAAAATGAACTAGTTGAACCCATGGCTTCTAAGGTATCAACGAAGCCCATGTTCTAGCAGCATTTTAAAAAGATATTTCTAAGCACAATGGGACCATTCAAGTATTATTAGATAGGGTAAAAATTTGTAAGAAAAATAAGCACATATACCTAATGTCACAGAATTCCCTTATTAGCTGACTGGACTTATATTTTTACCCTATTTTGGCATGCGGCTTTTTAATGGTACATTACAGAGTTTCTTGCATTCTTCTTTGAAACAGAATAATAGAGTACAGGATCACTGGTTTGTTTCACCCTAGCACTTTCTCTGCTCAGGCTTAATTGCTAAGATGATTATTTAAACATCCATTCAGAACTGGTTGCCCAATGACATTAAGGACAGAAAGAATGTGTAGCTGCATCTTTCAGTGTAGCACCAAGTTCTGATTTCAAAAGCACTTTTGAGAATCAGATTCAAGCTCCTGTATTATTTAAGGTCTTTGAAGTATGCTTTGACACCTTTCGCGCAGCACATTTGAAACCCTTTTTTGTGTTCATGTATTTCCACAGCTGTCTTTTAAATATAATGCTTTTTTTTTTTTTTGGACCTGTAAGGAATTTCACTTCTATAGTAATGAGTGCATTACATATGATCTGGTTAGGTAAGTTCCTACACTTAAAAATTATATGTGAGTTTCACAGACAGCACTGTTTTGGAAAGAGCTGTACAAAATGACAAGATTTTCAGTTGAGACTTACTGAGGTTTAAAGTAAAAAGAATCTGTCTTCTAATTGCTACGTGTGGAAAAGAAAGGTGTAAATTTGTGTTGATTTCTTTACAACCATCTGCATAGCAGGCAACATTTTTTAATTCATCTGTCTCAAAGCCCATTTCTTTCAGGTTGTTTTAAACGGAGTCTTCTCTTTTTCTTGCTCAAAGACAAGTACAGTACGGTGTTCATCAGGAAGAATAACTTCAGGTTCCTGGAGCATCTCTTAGAAAAGAGCTCCAGTAGTATATCTTCAGCAAAAAACGACCTCACAAGTCACAGAGGTATTTTATTTATGAAGACAATGATTTATTTTCTTAATAGATGCAAACTATTTATCTATGATAGTGCTGGAATATTTGGGTTCTTTCTATTCATATTTCATGAGGGAGGCAGAAATCATACTTTTTTTTTTTTTTGTATCCAGCACAGCATGGCTGGCCACTTTTATGATTTAAAGCTTTCTAATGCTCGTGGTGCTTGTGAATATAACCTTGCCTTTTATTCTACCATCAATCAATAACTTGCACTCATCAGCCTTGGATAATATTTATTAAAGGTGGGGTGGAGTAGAAACAAAGATGGAAAAAATTCTGGTTGGCAGAGTGCCTTAGGAGAAGAGTAATACAAATGCAGCTGCAGCAGAATCCTTTTTGTGTGTGAGAAGAATTACTGTTTTTCCTTATTTGTACTATGGGAAAAGCCACACTTCTTTCTCAGGATTTGAATGCCATTCTGGTACAAACACATATCATGAGAAAGTCTCTGCCCCACAATACTTACACTTTGCATTCTTAAGGCTTAAAGGGGTGGAAATTTTCAGGCTCAGTGTAAGTGTTTTGAACTGAATCTCACAAAGATAACATAAATCTCGAAACTGACTGCCGGGACTTGATCTTTCCAGCACTTAGACAGCGTATGATTTTGTTTATACAACTAGTGCTTCACTCTGTCTCTTGACGTGGAAAATGGAGGGGAATAGATGTAGCCACACCATGGGCTGGAGAGAATTTTGTTACTTGTCTCCCTCAATCTATAAAACTCTAAAGGGTACAGCTTGATTACTCTTACAGTAAGCAGTATTTGGTCCGCAGAAAGTCAGCCAAAAATGTAGCTGATAATGACTATTTATATGGTCTGTACAATTCTAGTTATCTTAAAGAGCTGTTCATATATACAGTACAGTACAGTATATCTTGCTTGTTAAAACATGCTTTCATGAAACTGTGTAACAACTCTAAATGTATGGAACATGGAGGAGAAGTTGTACTGGGGGCTGGGGCCCTTGCTGGGTCCCTTCACTGCCATGGTTAGTGAACTGAGAATTCCTGACTGTGCAATACATAAAATTATTCTGACTATGTTACTGCAGCTGGTGTAGGAAAGTAGACTCTACTGTTAGTTTCGAGGCATACAAAAGTCTGACATGCTCTATTAGATTAGGGTTCATCATATAATTGCTTAGAATTCCATGCTTTCCTTCCTCCAGCTTTTCCCAGCTCCACTAAGCGTGCAGTGATGTGCTTGTTGTATGCACCAGCCTGTAACTCAGACATATGGAATCAATGCAAATGGAGGGTCAAATTCAGCAGTAATACAATGGTACTGAACACAGCATAATTCCTCCATCAGGCCTTTGACACTATATTGAAAATCTCTACTATCCTGCTAAAGCGAAGAAAAAAAAACACAACAGAAAAAGAGACAAAATTCCTGGATGTTCGAATTCGAACAAGAGACGTGGCCATAGAAATCCTGATTGTGGTACAAAATATGTGGAAGAACCTTATACTTCAATTAGCTGCACACAAGATACTAGGTATCAGAAAGATGCCTAAGTATATCACCAAAGCTTGTGCGCTAGTTTATTTTTTTTCCTTTATAAGGGAAAATGTCAAGAAAAAATAATTTTACTTCCCTGTAATTTACTACTTGTCATAGAATAAATATAGCATCTCTTCAGGTACAGTTTCTAAAATTAAAAAGTATACCTTTAGTCCTGGGAGAGATGCCAAAAGCTCGTTACTTGTCTCCAGATTTACTACATGGGAATAATGTGGAAAAAACTCACAGCTTTTAAGATTTAAACTCAGCAGCATATCAAATTTATTCTTATATGGTATACTTGTTCATGACCTCTAGTCTTAAGAAATTCTGTCATGTTTGAAAACTAGTCCCTAGTGAAGCCTGTATCAATGTTAATAGCTAAGAGGTCAATGCAACTGCTAAACAGTTTGTATTACTGTCAGGGTGGTCATGAAAACAACACCTGCTGCATGAGCACTTGGCAGCTGGGTCAACAGGCACTGTGGGAATTTATCAATTTAGGGGGCCACTTGCATAACACTTTGACTGATGAATTGGGAAAGACTGGCTTACTGGGCTAAAGCTGCTCTATTATGTATGACTTTCTTTAGGATGGCAGAGGCTTCCTGCAGGCTCCAGAAAATAAGCAAAAGATAAACTGAGCTGTTTTTTTTCCTTATAAAGTGATAAAAAGTGAGAACTCCTTAATAGCCAGCGC